AGGGATTGGACTTGAATTTCCATAAACAAGTAAAGCATCTATTTTCTTTTTTTTTTAATTTATTTTTTAAAATTATTTAATTAAAAACCTCCATAGAAACAGTATATTCCCAACGATCACAGGCAAGTATGCACTAAAAATGATTATAAAATAAGGGGTTTTATGGAAGGGGATTTAATGAAGAGAATTAAAGGGAGGGGAAGTAATTTTTTAATAATTATTTTTAGAATAAATTAAATAATTATGATTTGAAGAACACCAAAACCAGAATTTCTAGACTTAAAATATTAAAAAATCTGAGGAAATTATTTCGAAATTACTTCAATGTGAGGCAAATCGTTAATAGATAAACTTTACAATTCTCCCTCTAAACGTTCAAATTTTTTTATTAAATTATTTACAGATTGTATTGTATAATTAGCATTCTCTACTGCATTTGAATAATTTTCAATAATTGTATTTGGATCACAACTTTAAATTTTAACAAAAATAATTTTAAAATTTAAAATTAATTTCCCAAGCCTTGAAAGTTTTGTTGGTCTAATTTCGTTCATATAAGGATATGTACAGTTTAATGGGCCTTCCAAATATGTTTGTATCCAACGCTCAATGTAACAAATATCTTTACCTACATTTAAGTATTCATCACTACAAACCTTTAAAAAACAAAAATTATTTTAATAATTATTTTTTAGAAATCTATTTTTCTTTTTAAAAAATATTCTGTTTATTTTTGCTCAATTTAATAAAAATAATTTAAAATTAAAATTACTCTATCCAATAATTATTTTTTATTTTTTACTTCAGCTGCTGGAAAAAGTCTAATTCGACGGGCAGATAAACGCATTTTTGTCCAAACATTCGGGTACAAATAATAACGAGGAAAAGGAGCTATTTGAGGTTTATGTTCAGCAACAAAAGCAATTATTTCCTTTAAAAGAATTTTTTTTAAAATTTCCTCCTCTCAAAAAATAAAACTACCTTTATTTTATTTAAATTTTTATCCATTTCTGGTGGATACATTAATTGAATTCTTAATTTCCCTAATTCGTCAAAATTCTTTTGATAAAGTGAAATAGTTCGGAAACAACGACCTCTTCGAATTAAATATATTGGTTCGAATACCTTAAAAAGAAATACACACAAAAAATAATTTCAAAAATATATTTACTTTACAACAATCTAATTTTGTATCTCCCAATTGACAATGTTGAAGGAATTGTTTACATTGAAGTCCAAAATTATCAAAAAACTTTAAAATTAAATATTCTCCTTAATATTTTCCCCAAAATTCTTTACATAATGAAAGAATTCTTCAATTGTTTTATTTCCTCGAAATATCAAATAAAAATTGTTCATTCGTTCCCTTGCTTGTTTATCCAACCAACTCACGTTCATTTTCTAGTATATCCACAGAAGAGAGAGTTTTTTTAAAGAAAATTCCAAACTTTTATTTAAAAAATCAAAACTTTTCCTTTTTTTCTTTCAATTTTTTTCTCAAAAATTAATTTTAAAAATACTACCTGAAATCCGGAACCGGCAATCATGTAAAAAGCGAAATTAAATACATCCTCTTTTGAATATTCTTTAATTTGATTTTTATTAGCTACAAAAAGATTTTTTTCCAATTTTTCCAAATCAATGTTGGCTGCATTTGTTGGACAAACGGTTAGTTGAGGCAATAATAATTTATCCACCTACAAATTAATCCAAGTATATAATTTTTCTTAAGAAAGGTATTGACCCAACAAGCTTCGAAATTTAAGATTTACTTCGTACCACCCTTAATTTTGGCATGTGTTCGTACTTAATATTAACACATTTTTTGTTCGTATCCTACTATGTATTTCTATTACAAATTTTGGTACAAGCGTCGAAGCACAGGAAGTATTTTTAAATAATTAAAAATTTCAGTTTAATAGAACATATGTATCTTTAATTTAACTCGTGCTAATTTTTAACTCGTGCTAACCTTCTCACTAAAATTATTAATTTAAACTTCCTAACCGATTTAACATTTATAAGTGTTGCAGATGGAACTTGAACATATTCGTGTACAATTCTAATAATTATATTTTATAAGATATATTTTTTAAAAAACCTATAAATTGTAAAAAGTCCAATTAAAAGGCAAACACTTAAAATACTAAACCACAATATTCTATACCAAGAATATCTAGCATTTAAAACACTATGTATACCCAAATAATCAAGTCCTGGATAATCTTCTGCTAAGGTTCTTCTAACTAATTCTTTCTTTCCTTGTTTTTGACTGAAATTTAAATTAATTTTTTTTGATTAAATTAGGAACTGATCGAGGTAAAAAGAACTGATCGAGGTAAACACTGAACTAATAAATTCTCTCCTACTCTTGGATATTTTTTATTTGTACTATTTTACTTTATTCTGCCTCTTAAATTGTTTATTACTCCAAAAATTTTTGTGATAGAGGAAAAAATTAATTCTATTTAGACTTTTTACTCTACATAGTGGTAACAAATTCAAAAAATCAAAATTTAATAATTAATTATAATTAATTTTAACCTTAATGTTGAACTTTTATTCATTTTTCGCAATTTATTTAGCTCCTATTTGATAATGCATACAAATATGTATCTAATTGTAGAGTTTAATAAAAGTAAAATGGATTACAAAATTAATATTTATATAAATATAAAACAAGATTATACATATTTTTATTATTTACACGTTTATTTATTGACCAACAATAAATTTTTGTATTTTTACAAAAATAAATATTATTTTCTCTCACTCTCTTTTCACTCTTCTCAATTTCAATTTTTATTCTTCGAGGTAAACAATTGAAAAAAGTTTTTGCGTGACTGTCAGTGCGTGGAAGAGATTACATTGGTTAAAGTGAGGGAAATATTTTGTTGAGTTATTTAAAGAATTGTGGAGGGTGATAGATGGATGATGATTTGAGAAGGAAAAGGGGGAGTAAGAAAAGTAGATTAATAATGATTTTTGTATTCTAAATTTTTGAAGGGGAGGTTGTATTATTCGATTAGAAAGGTGAATTTTGAAAATCCCTGCTTAAATATTTTTTAATTAGCAACTAAAACTTAATTAGCAACTAAAGACTTTTTAATTACCCAACTAAAAACTAATAAATCACAGAAATAAGCATTTAAAATATTTAAATAGTAATTTAGAATTGTATTGAAGAACGTTTGTTATGTTAAAAATTCATAATCTACAAAATTACAAAAAATATTTTTTTCGAAAGAAAAAACAACACATTCCTTTCAAGAATAATCCATTAACTACAAAATTAACAAAAAAAACACGAAAACTATCCAACCAAAATAATTCCAAAATTTGGAGTAAAAATAAAAAAAACATTCAGTTAAATTATTGGAGCGAACAATCAGATTTTGTTTTTTATTTGATTGGAATTTTCAAAATTTTGCGAAATGTAATAAATTTACAGGATTTTTTAGAAATAATAAAATGATAATAAAAATATTTTTTAATAGTACGGATAAATAACTTACCGTAAAAACTGTATTAATGTCCCTCCCTGAATTAGTTGCCCCACCTGTATTAAATACCCCATGTAGAGGGAGATCAAAACAATAATTGCCCTCCCTTAAATAATTACCCCCTATTTTTTACTACACTAATTATAAAGTTGTTAAAAAATCGTTATAAATTTTAAGGATAATATACATACATAGAAAAGAATCGGGAGATTAAGAGGAGATAGGGAATATATCGGGAGATTTGTGTGAGCCAAGAGGAATATCGAGGTTCTAAGAGCGAAAATAGCGAATTAATCTTCCATATTAATCTTCCAAATCTAATTAACTTGTTGATAACGTTCAAATACCTCTTAATCCCTCAAAGTCCATTATATCTCCTTTGATATCAACCTTACCTCCCCCTAAAAATTTCTCAAATCTATCTAGATTCCCCTTTTAATAATGGCATTTAAGGATCAATATCAAAAAATAATTTCGTCTTCATTTGCATTAAAAGCATCTGACCCTTCATATTCTTCACCCTTCATATTCCGCATTAGCCTCTAACTCATAATTTTCGATTGACTAGGTGACTATATATCCCAAAACGGGATTATTGTTGGTATGGCACCACTTTTAGGTACATTATATAAAAGTATATTAAGAGAATAGGGTATATTCCCTAAATAGGAATCATAAATGCTTGTATACATGCTCATCGTGTCTTTATATATCCCAGGAAGGAAGCATTGGCGTTATTGTACCATCTTGTGGTATATTATATATGAAAATTAAGGGAATATATGTATGTAGAATATCTGTAAAAATTTAATATTTATCTCTACATTCGGTAACATATTGTAAATCATTGTTCATATCTTTATGATAAAATAAAAAATTTACAGGTCGAAATAACAATTGCCCTCCCTCAAATAATTACCCCACCTCTATTATTTACCCCCTCCAGCGAGAGATCGAAACAATAATTACCCAGGGTACAGTTTTTACGGTATATGACGTAAAAATGATTTGAAATTAATCATAATTTTAAAAGTAAAAAACAAATATTTTTACATAAATATTTTACAATTTTACAACATATTAATTTTTAAATTTAAAATTATTTCTTTTAAATAATTCTTTGGACTTTTAGTTTCCAATAAATTAAATAATTAGATATAAATATTAAAGTAATTAAATTTTATTCTCTAAAATTGTTTGAGATCAAAATTATAAGATATATATTATCAAAAAATATAAAGAAGTTGTTTAATTAATTGTTCTTTAAAATTATTTTTCTTCTCAATAAAATTAGCCAACACGCATTGCATGCATACGATCAGTTGGGTTGCATACGATCAGTTGGTATTTAAAATTAATTTTAATAATATTGGATTAAATAAAGTTATTTTAAGGTAGGAGTAATTCTTAATTTACATAAACTTGAAATTATTTTGCTTAACATAGACTGAAAATTATAACAGAAAACTAAAAGTAAGTAAGAATTATCTCAATATTTTACATATTTATTAAAATTTGTATTAAATCAAAAATCACCTCAACAGATTGAAAAAGTCTACGGCCATCATTTTCTCGATAAGCAGGCATTCTTTGTACAATATCACGCCAAATATGCGTATAAAAATTTCGTTTAGTTGGCGATCCTAAAAATAGTTGATCATATTTATTAGAAGATTTGGAAGAAGTTTGTGATGATAAAGAAGAAGATTTTGGGTTATCTAATATATCATTTTTGTTGACTTAAAAAAGAAAAAAAAGATAAAATTTTTGTAAGGATAATTAATTCACGAAATTAAGCCCTCCTTCACCTCCCCCCCCCCCTCCCCTACCAGTAATTTAAAAAATTATTTTTAATTAATTTGTCCAGCACCTTTCTCGGTATTTTCATTAATTTCAGGCTCTTCTTGTAAAGTATTAGATGGCGGATCCAAAGAAAGAAAACGATAACCAAAAAGGGGGCTAACAAATGCCCCTCTTGCCATTGGAGCAAAACGTCGGTAGAGATTTTGGGGACGTGTTAATATTGTATCTACAGCCTCGTTTTTGTCTTCAAAATTAAAAAAAAATTATTAAAATATTTTATCTATTTTATTTACTTTCGTCAAAATTGTAAACTGGATAATAAGCAGAAACGCTGCTTAAAATAATTAAAAATGTAAATGAGATAAATGAAGAGAATTGTACTGAATTAAATAAAGTTGCCATTAATTTATTAAATTTAATTTTTAATCTATAATTTAATTGAATTAAAGGGAGTATTATAAAGAGAATTATTTAGTTAAATTTAAAGTTCGAAATATAATAATTCGAGAAAATATCAAGCTTAACTAACAATATTTTAAAATAATACTATAAATAGCAACTTGATTAGAAGAAATTTTTCTGTCTTAAAGGCGTTGGGGCAGATTTTTTGACCTGCCAAAGTTATTATTTTTCAAAAACTTTTCCGAAAAAATTCAAAAACCTTTCCCGATGTCTCAAAATGCCCAAATAAGGCCCTTGAGCCTTTATTGGACCAAGTATTTTTTGCTCAAAATTATGTGAGTTATTAAAAAATTTTTTAAAGATTTTTTATTTTAAAATATTTTAAAAAACAAAAAAGTATAATGTAAAATTATGTTAATGTATAAAATTTTTTTTTAAATTGAAAAAAAAAATAAATGAATGAATGATGAGAAAAAAAAGAAAAAATATTCGGGATGCTTTTTTTAATTAATTATTTATATACACATCATTATCTAGAGAATATTATTATTATTTTGTTAATGTAATAAGTAGTCTGTCTTTTCATATCTTCCAAGAAAAAAATGAGTAAATTAAATATTGGATAAAAAAAAGAAAGGAAAAAAGGAAATGTTCCTCTTGTGTTTGGTCTATTTTTGAAATTTTTTTAATTAAATTAATTTAAAATTATTTTTTCTTTTTTTTGTGTTTTATTCTTTTTTGTCTCTTAAAATTATTTTAATTAATAATTAAGAGAAGAAGGAAATCATTTAACCATCAAAAATTAGCAAAATCAAGGTCAACAAAAACTTCCACATTTTTATGTTCTTTCCTTTTATGGTTAAAATTAGTTATTTAAAATAAATTTAAAAAGAAAATATTTATAATTAAAAATCCTTTTAAAAAATTATTTTGCATTAAATTTAAGAAAAATTTAAATTTAATAATTAGGAATGGGAAGAAAGCTTTTAATTATTGTCCAGACCGTTTTTATATTGTGAGATAAATTTTAATTTAAAACTAAAATAAATTTAATTTTTTTTGAAATGGGGAAAATGTTCAAAATTCAAAGAATTTATTACATCAGAATCTTGAAACTGAAAAATATTTATTAAGTTGGAGTTATCGCTTAGCCACCCCCCCCTATCCAAAAAACATTAAACCATCTAATATAAATTACTGGGAATAAATTAAATAGCTGATAAATTAATTATTATTTATATTAAATTAAAATATCAATCTAAACTTAACGAAAAAATTTAATTACCAAATTTTTAATTTTTGTCAGAAATTCTCAAAAATATATAACTAATTTTAATTTTCCAATTAAAAATGATTTTTATTAAAATAAATTCTTTTAAAAATCCATCATTCAATAATTATTTTTCAAAATTAATTATTTGTTTTATTTTTCTTTTTAATTTATTTGAAAATTTTATTGGAGAAAAAATTAAACAAAACAACGAAAATAAAATATTAGAAAATTTGGATGTTTTGGAATTACCTGTTAAATTATTTCCAGAACCTCATTGTAATCATCAAGTTAAATTACATTCAGAACAGGGACCTCTTGTTAAAAGGTAGAAGAAAATAAAATTTAAAATTAAGGAGAGATTTAATAAAAATATATTTTTATTTGATAAAGTTAAAAATTATTTTAGAATAAAATAGAGGAAATGATAAATAAAAAATAAAGCTAAAAAGCAGTGTGGCCTATAAAACTAAATTGACCTTTATTTATATATTCTTTTACCTCATAAAATCTAAAATATCACGCAAACATTTATTTTTTCTTTGAAGCTAGAAATATATAAATAAATTATTAAAGTAAATGGTTAATAAAGAGTTTTATATTTAACATTAAGAAATAAAAAATAATTTTTTATTATGCTTGTAATGTACTAAAATAGTAAAGGCAAAAAATATTTTTAATCAAAAAAAATGATTATAAAGTGCTAATTTCACTTATAATTAATAATTACTATATTTATTTTTATTTTTAACATAAATTACGTGATATAAACAAATTTTTAAATAGAAATTAGGGAATATAAAAATTTATTTTTTATATTTAATTTACTTGTCAGAATTAATTTTTCACTACGTATAATTAAGTGCCTGTTTGTTTAAAGAGTATATTTTAGTAAAATAAAGTACAACTACTGGTAATTATGTATGCTTAGAATTTTATATTAATTAATTAAAATTAAAAATTAATAAAAAATTCTATTTCCGGATTAAATTTCTGATTAATTAATTAAAATATTTACTTAGGTTATTTAAAAATTTTAAATTAATTCAGAATAAAAGGCTGTACTTTAGTACGTGGGTCCCGGAGTTAATATACAAATGTTATACCATTCGAAAGAGCTAGTCGAGCTGAGTCGAATGCCACCAGTTTTAGCCCGAGGAAAAATTTTTGGACCGAGATATAGGTCCCTGAAATTTGAAAAAGCATAGGGGGGACCAAGCTCTTTTTTGGGGTGAAAAATTCGAAAATGCAAATGATACCTCATTCGAAAGAGCTCCTCGAGCTGAGTCAAATGACACCAAAATCAACGAAATCCGACTTGATTGGACAAAGTTATGATCTTTTATTTTAGCTCTTTACCTATGGCATCTGTGGAGATTTTTGCTGCTACGGAGGCCCCAAATACGTCCAGAGCAAGGGAGATAGGAATAGGTTTATGTTACGAGCCCAGACCCAGCGCCCGTAGACTCCCCGCGAGGCGCGTGCCGCAAAACCCCGCGCGAAGCGCGGGGTTTTGCACAAGCGCCTCGCCGACGCTCCATAGGTTTAGGTTTTTTGTTTTTTGTATCATAACTTTGTCTAATCTTGTTCAATCACGGTGATTTTGGTGTCATTTGACTCAGCTCGACGATCTCTTTCGAATGAGGTATAATTTGCATATTCGAATTTTTCACCCCAAAAAGAGCTTGGTCCCCCCTATGCTTTTTCAAATTTCAGGGACCTATATCTCGGTCCAAAAATTTTTCCTCGGGCTAAAACTGGTGGCATTCGACTCAGCTCGACTAGCTCTTTCGAATGGTATAACATTTGTATATTAACTCCGGGACCCACGTACTAAAGTGACCCCGAATAAAATTAAAGGAAGTTATTTTATTTAATAAAAAAGAATATCTATATTTATTAAAGTAACATCGAGAAAATTTCTGGGAATATTAGCCATACTTCTAGCTAACGGCTGTCATTTATTAACAATTTTAAAAACGAAAAAATAAATTTAGAAAAGTCTCTATTGGCGAAACAATTGTGCATATATGGAGTTGTTCTTATGGAATTACTGAAAATAATTCAATAAATAATTGGAGGAATATTAATTATAGAGATCGTACTTATTGTATGATGGTGAGGAACTGCACGGTAATTAATTTTAAATAGAGAAATATTTTTAATTTAATGCATCACATATATGTACATAAGTATTAATAATAAAATAATTAAAAAATATATCTAGTATACATATATTTATTTATTCCCTTTAAAAATAAAGTTTCAGGTTTCCAATCAAAGTCGGCAAACAAAAAGTCCAGAAATAGGTGTGTCTGTAGTAGAAATTGTAGACGAATTTGGCTGTTCTAATTGGCCAGATATTTTACCACAAATAAAATATCATGGAGATCTAAAAGCAACATTAGAGGTGCAGGCATTTGCTTTAGAATATGATAATGTATTTTTAATTTAAATTAGGTTTTATAGAGAAAATAATTTTTTAGACAGAAATGAACTTTTCTTGCCAAATTACTTTACTTTTGAAAAATAATGGTCGTTGCCGACGTCCACAATGTTTGAAAACAAAGAATTAATTAATAAAAATAAGCCTGATAAACAATAAATATTATCATATCTATAATTAATAATTGGTTTTTAATGTTTTTTACTAAAAATTTCATAAATTCGCACTTAAAACTTGACTGTATTCATTGACGCCTCATTATAATCTGAATTAGAAACCGAACTGGGATGATCGTACAATAATATTGCGAGATATCTCGAAAAATAATGATATCGATAACTGAAATTTTTGTTCGATAACTCCTCTCGATAACAGAAAAATATTTAAATGTATTAGAAATTGTATTTCTTAATACTAAATAAAATTAAGAAAATAAATTTAAATATTCTTAAAAATTTATTCTTTTTTAATAAATCCTAAACAATTTTTAATAAAATTTACTAATTTTATCTATATTTAAATCTTATTAACGTTTTCCATAACCACCACTCATCCCACTCATTCCCATATTTGATCCATATCCACCACTACTTCCCATAGTTGGTCCATATCCACTACTTCCCATCCCCATTGAACTTCCCCCTCCACAACAACCACCACCGCCCATATTACTTTAAATTAATTAAAATAAATGAATTTTTTTTAATTTAATTTTATTTCTTACCCTCCACTAAAACTTGGCTGTCCATAATCTTAAAAATAAATATTTATATGAATATTTTAATAATTTTTTACTTCTTATCATCCTAATAGCCTCACTTCCAATAAAAAATGCAAAAACAAAAATAAAAATAATTGAAAAGAATTTCATATTAGAAAACTCAATCTAAGATAAAAATTAAATATAATATATTTAATTTTTTTAAAGAAATGGCAAAAAATCACAAAAATTTCTGAAGAATTTTATTTAAAAAATTTTATTAAAAAATAAATATCTGATTTGATTTTTAAAATTAAAAACAATTTAAATACTTATTTGACTTATTGTTTTTTTAAGTAAATGGCCTAAGGGGTTATTTTACGTAATTTATGTATAAAAAATATTTTTGGCCAAAACAAAAGATTTTTTAATTAAAAAAGAACAATTTAAAGTAATTAATATTTCAATGAAATTAATTTTTAAATTAAAAAAATTTAAAAAAAGAATAAAAGTGCAGATTTAAAAAAAGTATTTATTTTTAACCGGTTTTAAATTATTTTTTAAATTGTAATTATACATATTTATTTTTTATTAAATTATTTTAAAATTAACTATTATTTGGAATGATGTAAATTCTTAATTTTAAAAATTGTTATTGTGGAAATTCAAAATAAATATTTTTAAATAAAAATATTTTTTACATTTTTTAATTAATTTAAATATTTGAATTTTGAAAAATAAACTTTTTTAAAAGAATATTAAAGTTGAAAGAGTAAAGCTTACTAGGAGATTAATAAAATTAATTGACTTTAACTAAAATATTTTTATAAATTCTTAAAATAATTTTTATTTTCCCTTTTTTCTTAAACAAAAATTTAAATATTTTTTCCTTCTTTTTTGTTATTATCTATACAAATATTTAAAATTAAAAATAAACAATGGAAATAATAAAAATATATATAATATTTATTATTATTATGCAAACCATTTTTTTTATTTATTTAGGCTACTATTTAATTAATAAAAAGAAAAGAAAAAATTAAGTATTAATCAAAGATTTTCACATTTTATTATTTTATTTTCCATTCACACTAAATTAAAAAATGTTTAATTTAAAAAATAATTTTAAATTTAATTTTCAATTAAATAAAATTAATTTATTAAATTATTATTTAATAATTATTATTAAATTAAATTTATTTTATTTTTCATCCTCTCAACAATCTTGGCGTTAGTTTTTAAGATCTTTTTATGATTTAGAGAATGTGATAAAGACAGTCGTTGATTTTTTAAATTAAATAAAATTAATAAAGTTAATTTTCAATAAAGAAAGGCGAATAAGAAAAGCGAAAAAACTCCAAAAGAAATTTTATACTTTATTTAATTCAAAAATTTATAAAAACGGGAAACTTCAAGTAATTCTTCCAATATTAAAAATAAAAATGAGAACATTCTTAATTTTTATATCTGATTAATCCAAACATTTAAGTCCAATCCTTTTAAGTTTTGAATATTTTGAATAATTTAAACATAATTTTTTAAACAAAAATATTTTTCAGCATGTATCCAAACAGGTCCAGGAACTGGTGTTTGTGATGAAAAAATGGTTAAATAAATTTTAAATTTCAACAAAATTTAAAAAAATAATTTAGCCCCCCACTCCTTGTATTCCCTCTCCAAATGATCCAAATAAACTTGTTTGTCCATCACCAGATTGTCAAAGAGATGAGGATTGTTTAACTTTCGGTTGTAATCAACAAACTAAAAAATGCAATGAATTTATAGAAAAAAGTTTGAAAGGGATAGAATTTTTTAAAATATTTTTTAAATTATTTTGAGATGTCGGAGATAGTTGTAGAACACATAGAGAATGTGGATTAAATAAATTATGTGATGGAAGTCAATGTAAACAAGTACCTCAAGGATCACCTTTTGAATTTAGCACTTTTAGTAAGTCTAGTTAAAAATTTATTTTTCTTAAAGAATAATGGGCATTGGGGGGATGAGAGGTGGGAAATTAATTTGAAGTATGGTAATAGGTATTTTTCTAAATAAAATAAGCACCTTGTAAACAGTTCATTATGTCATATAAACCAATTTAATATCAACATTTAATTATTTATTTTTATAATTGTGTACTGTAAATCCTCCATCTGGATGTGAAGAAACGAGAGGAATGGAGGAATGCAGACCAGACCCAGATCCTTCCACAAATAGAGGTGTTTGCCTCAAAAAGAGTTCAGATCCTGCAGCTAGAAAACAACTTGATGAATTAACAAAAAAAGGTGGAGGAATTGGTGGTGGTATACTAACATATGGCGTTAAGGAAGGAGAAGGTAGATTTAAAAATATATGATATTGAGTGGCAAATATTATCTATAAAATTATTTAAAATTAAGCTTGTACAAGAGGAATTACTCGTTGTGAAACACCTCTTTATTGTGACGGTGTTTGTAAAAAGACTTGGAATTTGCGTAATGAAGTTAGTGGACATAGAATACCTCCTCCACCTGGTGACCCAAATTGTAGAGATTCTCTAGATTCTGACGAGATAGATGAAAGTAAAACAAAATGTAATGAAGTAGAGGAACTTTGTAATGTAATTATTTATGTCCAATTAATGAAAGAACAATGCCCAAAAACTTGTGGATATTGTGATGATCCTAGTTTAACTTTAATTGATTATGATAATGAAATTGATGAAGAAGAGGAAGAAAGTTTTGAAAGTGAGGAGAGTGATGAAAGTGAAGAAGAAAAGAAAAGAAAATAGGGAGGAAATATTTAATTAATTATGATAATTTATGTATTTATATTTAGTACATATTTATTTAGTAAATAATAGAATAGAAAAATTTATTTTATAGTTTTCTAAATTATGGTCATTTTACATTTTAAATCAAATTCAGTCACAGTGAGACCTTGATATTTTAAATTGTTATTAATTCTTGGCAAAAAATTTTTAAAATATTTTAAATAATTTATCTTCACATCTTTATTTTACTTATTCTATTTTTGTATTAGTTTAATATTTAAGATATTTTTAGAATTTGTTTTAATTAAATTCTTGACCATTTATATTAATTTAATTTTTAACTATAAATATTTAAAAATGGTTAATAATTCATCAAACACATTTTTGGAATATGTCTACCTTCCCTAAAAAATTTTTTTCTTCCCTAATTTTATCCTTGGTATTTTTATGACAACTGACGGCTTTTAAGAAGAATAAAAATGAAAAATTCAGAAGAAAATGTGTGAGATAAAATATAAATTGAATGTTTTGGATAAATTAAATGCCAGCTGTCACAGAATTTCTCTGAAAATATTTTTTAAACTTTTTTAAGGATTTAAGCAACAAATGTCTTCTTCATTCAATCTCCGATCGAATAAATGTTCTTTTTAAGCACTCAAATTGTCAAACAAAACTTAAATATTTTTTACTTTATTTCAAAAATTCTTTAAAAAATTTAAAAAGTTTAAAACAGTTAATGACGTTTTAAAAAAAAACTTTTTAGAAATTAAACTACACATTTTTATGAAACATTTAAATAAAAATATTTCCTTTATCATTTTATTTTTAATTTTAGAATTTTTTAAAAATTAAAACTTGGACTAGATTTTAATAAAATGTCCGCTCCACGTAGTGTTGCTAGCGGTGTTGGTGCTGCTGTTATGAATAAGGCAAGATAATTTAACTAAAATTTTCTTAAGATTTTCCTGTATTTTCCTAAGAAAATTTAAATAAGAAAAAAAATTAATTTTAAGCAAGCAAGTAAATACAATGAAGTTGAAGGAGAACTCCTTCTTAATTGGATTAAGAAAGTGACAGGCGAAAATATTGCTATAAACGGAACTAGGGAAAATTTTGTGAAACAATTGAAAGATGGAACTTTGCTTTGCAAGTAAATAAATATTTTTATTTTAATATACATAATTATTCAAAATAATTTAAAAATAGATTTGCTAACAAAATTGTGCCAAATTCAATCACAAAGGCACAGGCAAAACCGAACAGCACATTCCAGTAAGCAAACTTTGAAATTTTTCTTCAAATATAATCCGGATTAATAGGAATAAAAAGTAACACTTAGCAAATCCTTACGGCCCCAATAAAGCAGAATTCGGAGATTCAAAAAATTTTATCCTTTTATTTTTTGTTTTTTTCTTTCTACATACAAATATTATTTCAATTATTAATTAAAGTTTATTAAAGATATATGAGCAATTTGGAGCTGTTCTTAACGTTTATTTCAAGCCAAGGAGTCCCTAGGGAGGAACAATTCCGAGCAGTCGATTTAGTTGAATCTCGTGACCTCTACTCTGTTTGTATGACATTAAATTCTCTTGGCCGCATTGTAAGACAATTTTTTAAAAATAATTTCCAAAAATTAATTTTAAAGTTGGAACGTCAAGGAAAAACTCATCCAGAGCAGGTTAAGTCGTCAGAAATTCTTAATTTGGGTACTGGTGACCAGGTGCGCCTTCGTGTTTAAAGATGGAAAATTGAAAGAATCTTGGTTGAATAATAATAAAAAGACATTTTACGGCAATAAAAAGAGTCTAAAAAAGCTTGTCTTTTAAATATTTTGGCAAAACATTTTACTTTCACAAATTTTTAAAATAAATTTATGAAGATTTTGATTTAAAAACACCTTAACTCTATAATTGAATCTGGGCCTTCGTTAAGTCTAAAATATTTTATAAAAAGTTTTCAACTGAAAAATCGTATATACGACTTAAAATTAAAAACTACATAAAATAAATTCGTTTTTTAGTTTTATTTATCTTTTAGTTTTTTTTCGTTTAGAGTTCATCTTCTTTTAAAAATTTTGTTTTTCTTTTACAGTTTTTCAAACTGAAAAATTGTTTTCTTTTGATTTTAAAATTGATATGAACTATATTACAGTTCTTTAAAAAATACATATTAAAAAATAAAAAAATTATATTCCCTTTTAAAAAATCAAATTGTTCTTTTATATTAAAAAATCTTAAGTGTTAAAATATACAAAATGTAGAAAACGCAAAATAAAAAATACAAAAATAAATTGTTTATTAAGGCAGATTTTAATTGATATGGCTATATTTGAGTTCTTTTAAAAATACAAAAATTATTAAAACTCCAAGTTAGTACAAAAATTAAAAATTTATTTTTTTATTGAATTCTTTTAATTTTAAAATCACAAGAAGAGTGTAAACTCAAAATAAAAGGCCCTTCTTGCCCAGATTGAAAAGTCATTGGTTGAATGGAATAAATGCCTGCTGGAATCTTTTCTAATTGTAAAATTGTACATCCTCGCCTAAAATAAAAAAATTTTTAATCTCAAAAATAAGTTGAAGTAGGATATAGACTAGATTGAGGGAGATATAAAATTAAATTAATTTCAATTTACCTAAAAGGTCCAGAATCTTTCCTTTCAAAATCTTTTTTTCGAAAAGAAGAAACTTGGCAAAATTCTAATCCAACACTATATTCTTTTGGTCCTTTCAAGTCAATTAAAAATTCATTTTCATCACTCCCATCTTCAAATTCAATATGGAAAAGAGGATTCTTTAATCTAAAAAAAGAAAAAAAAATAAAAATAAAATTTCAAAATAAATACCGAAAATTTCCCCCATTCGAATCATTTCCACATCCCCCAGCCATTTCTCCCTTCCAATTACCCGTTTCCTTAAATTTATTCTTTTAAATATTTTTCTCTCATTAAAAACCTTTTTGTGGTATTTATATGGAGAAGGAATATTTCCACATTTAAATTCTGAACTAGAAAAGATACGAAGACTATAATAAATTGTTTTCATTTTTTCATACTAAAAAATAAATAAAAAAATTTTAATTTAATTGGGAAGAATATAAATTTAATTAATTAATTTACGAGAATACCCCTCTCCCCCCTCTCCAATAATTAAAATTTTACCTGAGCCAAAACCAGTGTAAATTTATTTGTACCAGGATCACGTACAATAAGTTGGCAAAGGTAGTGAGGACTATTTATTCTCGTTCCTTCCAATATTGGTTTTGGTTCATCTAAATAATTTTTTATTTTAAATTAAAAAATAAACAAAAACATACGAGGTAGATATACTCGTTTTCCTTCATTTTTATATACAATTACCTAAAATAATGAAAATAATATTTAATTATATATAATAACCGTTATATATTCTTTATTGTTGGCAAAGTCATCCTAAAAATATTAAAATATAAATAAAATTATGAAATATATTTTAGATTTTTTAATTGTTTTTTTTGTAATTTCCCTCCTCTGTCAGCTTTCAAATCCAAGGGCGTAGCCTGGGGGCTGAGGCGCACACATCATTTTAGACCCTGAAATCGACCAACCGGCTACGCCCTTGTTCAAATCCCAAGCTCTCGATTTACTTACTTTTAGGACCGAATTAATCCCAAATGTCCCATCAGAATCCGAAGCCTTTTGATTTAATTTTCGAGATAAACTGTCTTTTTCAAATTAATTTCTTTACCTTATCAGTAATATGACGAGTAAGTAAAATCCAAACAGAAGCAGTTCCATGTTTATTATTAACTTCTAATAAATATTGCGGATTTTCACCAATTGTATATAAATCTCGAATTGGCCCCATTCCTGCATGCCACGAACTAAAATAAAAAAATTTTTAAAATATTCATTTAAGAAAACAAACGAATGCAAAACATAAGAGAAAGGAAACAATTTTGGATTCCAATTAACATAAAAAACATCAAAAAAGGCACAAACAGATGGATAATCAATCCAAAAAACTCCATCATCAAATTGTTGAGCATCTTTTGGATTATAATCTAATTTGGCACAAAGTTCTTTAAAAGAGTTTATTTTACTAGAAATTTCTTTAAAAAATATTTACCAGGTGTCCAAGTTGCCGAATCACTTTCAGAATAACGTCCTTTCCATCTCAAATGTGTCCATGGATTTTTAACCAATAAAAGACATTTACCATCAATTTTTCTTAAATCCAAAACGGCATAAGCATGTGCATCAACTAATCCAGTACGTTCTTGTTCACTTTTATCTAAATGTCCAGTTGCCAAAGTTATTAAACAATGACCTGAAAATTTGAAAATAAGAGGTTAGACAATAAAAATTATTTTTGAAATTAATTTTCCCCCTTCACTAAAATCCTTTAGAATTTTTAAAAATATTTCAAAATTTATAAATATTTTTTAAAATTTTTATATTTAAAAAACCTTGATGAAAATGTGTAAAAAGCCGTTCAAAGACTTTTGAAGCATCAAATAATTCATTCTCGTCGGGTCTAATAGGTATACGTTCAGGTATCCAACCAGTAAGTGAATGTAAATCGATATTCTAAATTTATATATTTTATTTATTTAAAAACAAAAAATAACCGAACTAGAACCAGGAAAATCATATCCACCCATTACTTTTAAATAAGCCTTCTCTAAAAGAGAAACCCAGAGTTCATTTCGATTTTGACTATAAGAACAAAGCAATTCTCCATTTTTTCCAATTGGAAGTAAATCATCAATTATTATCTTTTTAAATAAAAATAATTTTAAAAATTTAAAAAAGAAAAACTTTTCTCCAAATTCCATTTATATGTAATCGGACCATATATTTTCCTGATGGATTATACAAAGGATCTCCATTTTTGTTTTGAGGATAGATAATGCTGTAAAGAATGTTTTAATTTTTGATTAACCGTTCCTCGTGATTTTTTTGAATATAAATACTTATAGTTAGGTTGGGAATAAAAATAAAAAAAGGATTTTAAATCCCATAAAACGCAAGGAAACATGTTTTTTGGATACATACAAGGGGGCCAACCCAGAATACCTGTTGACCCAAAAGACCTACTTCAATTTTTTAACTCTATTTTTATTTCATTATAAGTATAATCAGGAGATATCGGTGGATTTAAAGGTTTTAAAGGTAGGTCTTTTGGGTAAACAGGTCTTTTTGGGGTCGACTCTGTACAAGTCCAGAAAAAGATAAATTAAAAAATATTCATTGTCATTAAAGTTTACGGCAAGTTTTACTATAACCGAAATTTCTAAAAATCCCCTATTTCCAAAAACCTCATTAAAAATCTGACTAACAAATAATTTATATATCCCCCCAAAAATTAATTTACTGCGTAATTAATTTAATTCCAAAACGTCTTTCATATCTCGCAGCAATTGCAAGTGAAGCAACAAAAGAACAATCAGAAACTATAGTCTTAAAAAAATTTCTTTTTAAAATCAAAACAAAAAAAAACCTGTTTAATAGTCCCAGAATCAATTTTATCAATTATTTTTGGTTCATCTTTTATAAATTCATTAGGTCTAAGCCATCCTTTTAAATTCTTTTTCTGTTTTTCTGATAACGGCAAAAGTCCGTCCTTGTCAGTAAATGGAATTGGAAGAAAAAAAGATTCGTTTTTTAAATCACATTCTTCAATAAAAGGAATATATTTTCGATTATTTATAAGAGAAGTTGTTGCCAAAACAGAAATTTCATTTTGAGATAATTCTCCAAAATTTTTCTTTTTTTGATCAGACCAACGACGCCTCTGCTGTTTTCCATTATTTTTATTTTCTATTTTTGGTTTAATTTGTGAAGTTGATTGATCATTATTTAGACTAACCAGACTAAATTCTGAATTGAAAAAAAATTAATTTTTGTCACACCACTTTTATTATCATTACTTAAGGGGATGGAAAACTGGCCAAATCAGTTCAGTCATAGTTTTTGGTCTAAAGAACCGTTGTCGGTTCTCCATCCCCCTTTTCCACCCATTTTGTTTCACACATTTTACAAATGAATTTACTGAAAAAAGCTCTATTATTTTGTGTTTAAACAGGCGCGTCCAGTTGTGACGTCCCACGACTGGGGCCCAATGCCGGCCCGTTAATCGGGATGTTTCAGATTTTTAATTAATTAAAAAATAAAAAAACCGTTGATTGGAACTTTTGGAAATATTTTATTTAAAAAATCAAAATTAATCTCTTCTTCTACTTTTTCTTCATCATCACTTAAAATTGGGGCTGATGGATTGTTGTAACCTTGACTGTTGGTATTTAATGATGATTTAATTTTTTCTGCTCTTTCTATTGCTAATGAAGTTAATTCTTTTAATTTTTGTATTTTTTGAGGATTATTTGGACTTTTAAGCTAAAATAAAAATTAAAAATTAATTAAGAACTTTTTTAAAGAAATATGAAAATTTTTTTCAAATTTAAAAATAAAACAATAAATCGTAGTAAATAATAAGTCAATTTAGAATTAAAAGTTTTTGTTACTTTTCCGTTACCCATACCCCCTATCTACGGACTTTGTGGTTATTTATTTGGATTTTATGTCGGAGCTGTGGTCCGCAAAAAGAATAAAAAAGTCCGCAGAGGGGATAAAAAAATACTAACAAGGAGAGGTTGCGAGGTGTCGGACCCAAAAACGGTCGAGACCGGACCCATTCGATAGAGAATGTGCCCTTTCTAGGAAAGATTTTGAGCCGTTTTTGCCCGTTTTTTGATCGGGCCAAGATATGGCCCATCAAAGTTTTTTAAGAAACACAAAAAATAATCTTTTTAAATAACCTCCAAAAGCCCCAACTCAGCCCCTTCCGTATACAAATTCAAAGCCTCATTATAATTTCCCTTCTCATCATATTCCAAAGCTTTCATAACAAAAGAAAAAGAATCATTCTGTTCTGGTTTTACTTAAAAAAATTAATTGAAAAATCAAAAAATACTTCTAAATAATTTACCATGTTTTTTCAATTCCTCACATCTATTTAAATATTTTAAAGAAATTTCTTTATATTTTTGAGATATTTTTTTATTTTCAATTAATTTAAATATTTGATTTGCTGCTTTCTAAAAATATTTTTGAAAATAAATTTTATTTAAAAATAAACCGAATAATAAATAATTGCATTATTAAAATCACCAATATCATCATACTTTACTGCTATTTGTGCTAATTGATGTAATTCATTTATCTCCATAGAAATACTGGGGAAAATTAATTTTAAAAAATTTTTGAATTAAGAAAAAATCTAAAAATAAAGTTAATTAATTAAATTGTAAAGAAAAGAAAATTTTTTGTAAAGAATTTAATTTTTTTGGGGTGAGGACGAAGTTTTGGCCGGACGAAGTTTCGGTAAAACGAAGCTTTGTCCGACTAAGTTTTGTCGGTCAAAGTCGTGTCCATTCGAAGAACTGCCATGACTAGGGAGTGGCAAAATATGCACGAAAAATCCCAAAATATGCGCATATATATGCACCGAAAAAGCCTAAAATATGCACAAAAATATGCCAAATTTTCCAAAATATGCACTAAATATGCAGCAAAAATAATAGAAATGTGGTTTAAAAATCCATATTTTGAGTAAAAAATACTAATTTAGCATTTAAATTGCAGTTAAAGAGCTCTTCTAGAAGATTTTATGAACTTAAAATTTAAGTTCCGATAAAAATTTTTTGAAAAAAGTTTTTCCCGAAAAATTTTTTGAAAATTTTGCTAAACAAATTTTTATCAAAAAATTTTTTGCGCAAAAAATTCTAATATTTTTAAAATTTTGCCCGATTTTTACTAAATTTTCTCAAAAAATGCCAAAATAAGCACAAATTTAGGTAAAAATATGCAAAATTTCCCAAAATATGCACAGATATGCAAATATGCACGAAAGTACCAAAATATGCAAAAATATGCATTAAGAACCCGGTCCCTAATGTTCGTACCAATGTAAAAACACCATTTTTGAGCGTTTTAGCCGATGGCATATCCGCATGCAAAATATGCATTTGCATGTTTTGCCACTCCCTAGCCATGACACGAATTTTTGTAAACGAGAAAATTATATTTTCCTTTTTAGGAAAAATTCGAAAAAAATTCCTGGCTAACGACTAAAGGTCGTTTCAGCGCTAATTAAATTCTAAATTTATTTATTACTTTACTTTTTCTATTTTTTCGCGTGGGATTGTATTGAGATTCTAAGCTTTGCCGGAATCGAAAATTTATTTTTTCCCAACTCTCACACTCTAAACTTAGCTTTAGGTTCAGAGCGAGAAGGGGAATCTCGAGAAACTAAAAATTCTTTCATACGAGATAAAGAAACAATTACCCGCAGGTTAAGAAAGGAAAAGAGGTTAAAGAGTATTAGTGATTGGAAGAAAAATAAATATTTAATAGAGAGGAAAAAGTATTAAAGAAGAAGAGAAAAATATTGTTTATATTTAATGTTCTCTTACAACTTTTGCTAACTATCTTTTATTTATTAATTAATTTTCCGCTTTTACGAATATCTTCCAAGAAAGATTGTTTCTTCAACCTTTTGCCAAGTAAATATTTTTGAATGGGAGTTTTTAACTCCCAAATAATTTTACTCAATTCTTAATTAGTATTTAACTTTCAAACTTGAAATTAAATAATGCGTTTCTAAATGCATATACCTAATTACTGTAATTCAGGCATAGAGTTAGTTTCTTCTCAAGTCTCCCAAATCTCCCTATATCCACTCAAAATCCTCTTGATCTTTCTTAATGTCCAGATTATTCACAATTCTTTTAAATGTTACTCTAATTATTTTTGCGGGAAAAATTATTTTTAAAAACATTTACTGCCTAAATCCCTCACTGCCTATATTACTCATTAGAGATCGAGCTGGACCTGGAGGTTTTTCCTGTACCCAGAGTCCAGGTCCAGGCATTTTTTGACCTTCCTGGGTTTTTCCTAGACTACAGGCCCAGGATCCTGTCCAGGTCAAGAAATCAACTCCAGAGTCCAGGAACAGGTCCAGGCTTTTCAAAAATCTCGATCTCTATTACTCACTGCCTAAATCGTATATTGGCGAAATCACTCGGCACCGTTTGATATTGAATAAACAAAAATTAAAAAAAAAGTAGCCATATATTTTATTAAAATTTTTTTTAAATTTCATTGAAATGAAAACTTTGTAAACATAAATATTCACTAAAACTAAATAAAATAAATAATTAATTAATTCCGTTAATTATTCTATAAATATTTTTTTATTTTTAATTTAATTTTCTCAATTCTTCAACTGTCATATATTTAGATTTTAACATAAATTTCTCAGTTTCTTCTTCAGATAATTTATTTTCTTTAGCCAATATTCTCAAATAACTCGCTTCTATATTTCTCACAAATTCTTCAAATATCCCCTCTTCTTCTGATATAAATTCAAATATAGGCAATCTTTTTGTTTTTATTTTTTCATCTTTTTTAATTCCAATTAACCAAACATTACAAATCCAAGAATTTTGTTGATAATTAAAAAAATATGGGGGGCATTTATTATTTTTAATTATTCTTTTTGGTTGTATATGACAATAATTTATATTTAAATTATTTTGTTTATTTTCTAAAGAAAATAATAATTGGAGTCTAATTCTCGTTTCTACAAAATTACAAAAAGAATTTCCATATAAACTTGTAGGAGAATAATAACAAATAACGACTAAATAATGTTGGTACTTGAAAAAATTAAAATTTAGGAAAAGTACATAATGCCCAGAAAAACCTTTTCTTCAAATTTTTTGCCTTTTAACCATTTAATCCATTCTTGTTTGAGAATTATTGTGGGTATTTTATCTTGTTTATATTTATTTAATGCAAATTCTATATTTTTTAATTCTTCAATACCTTAAATACCGGAAATTGAAGGTAGTGTTTTTTTTTGAAAAAAGTAAAAGTAAATTGTTAAATATATTTCATAACAAATTTTAAAAAGGTAATGGACATAGATTTTGATATCCGTATCCGGATATTTACGGGTGGATAAGGTGGATATCCGTAGGCATTATAAATTATCTGTATCCATATCCTTATCCATTACCAAGCCTGACTTTAAATGTATTTTACTAAATCATTAAAGGAATATATAGATATACATACTATCTAGGTATATTAGATATACCCTTCGAGGAGGTATTGAAAAATAGAGCAGCTGCCACACATGTCGTTGACGAAAATAAAATTTTAACAATTTTTTTGATATTTTGTGATTCATTCACTTTCTATTTTTGACAATATTTTTATGTACTTTTTTGCAATGTACTTTACATTGCATCATTTTTATCATAGAAATTTTTGCCTATAAAAAGTAGGCAGAAATTTCACTTTTCAATGTCTTTTGAGATATTCATTTTTTTAATATTCTGTGTGAATATTTATTTTGTTTGAAGATAAAGATTTTTAATTGTGTTATTTGAGTTTATTTGTTTTTTATCTAGGTTAATTATTCGGAAGGAATAATTAACTCTGAGATATTTTATAATTCCCTATTAAAGAATAGGAAGGTGAAATAGTTTTCCCTAAGAAAGAGGGAAAGTATTTTACAACACATTTAAAGGGTTTCCAGTCTTTATTTTAATTTTTTTATAATTATTTAAATTTTGAAATGAAATATATATTTAATAATTTATTTTTAATCCTTTCCAAACCCCGCCCCCCCCCCCCCCCCCCACTACCTTCAATTAATTCATGTCTAATAATTGTAGCTGTAGACTGATTTATATTAAAAGCAGCATTTTGTTCGGGAAATGAAGGAGTAATTACTGCCCAAATAATTTTTGTATGTCTTTCCATTTCTGGATTTAAATTTAATCTAAAATGTTCTTTTCTATCAGAAATTTCTTTTTCAAAATTCCAAATAATTCTTTCATCAAATTCTGTTATCCATTTTTGTTTTATTATTGTTTTATTTAAATTAATTTGTGGGAAGTTTCTTTAAAAAAAATAAAATTATTTATTAAAAAAAAATATTTTTTACATTTGTGAATATGCTCTCATAAACTCTTTAAATATTTTGATAATGGAATTATTGTGAGGATTTTCAAGAATAATATTACAAATTAAAATAGCAAGAGTTGTGCCATTTATAAAACCAAATTTCCCTCCATATATGGAATGATCTTGAAAAAAATTTAAATTTAAATAATATTGGTAATTTATTTAAATTAAATTTTACTTTGAAACCAAAATTTCATTGTCATAAGTACTAAACGGAAAATTGTTGTAGAATGTCCCAATAAATTAATTATTTGTACATTTGCTCGATAACCTTAAAAATTAATTAAATATTAATCTAACAAATACCCTAATAATTATTTTTTTAATCCAATATTTTTATTAAAAATTCCAAAAATAAATACCAGAAAGTACAAGTAACATTCCCTTTCTTCTATCAGCCCATTTATTTGCCATTAACCTATTAACCCCAATTTCTTTTAAAAAACGTTCAATTATATTATCAATTATATTAATATTTAAATGTCCATATTTAGGTATTAAATTATTTATTTTTTCATTCCAGGGAAGTGTAACTATATTTAAATCAAATTCCAATCCAGAGAAGAACAATTTTATTAGAAAAACATTTGATTTAATTTTTGATAATGATTCTGTTGAGGAATCCTTAAATTTTAAATTATTTATTTTTAGACATTTATCCCAAAAATTTGCTCTTTAATATTTTTCAACACAAGAATTATTTAAAAATACATATTAATATTAATATAACCTACCCAACAAAAAATACAATAAAGTGACCATCCTTCACATTTTCTTGTTTCCATGTTGCATTCTGATTGGCCAAAAAATTCTTGAAAAATAATAGTTTCCCAATTAATTACTTCTGGATTATAAGGTATTAATATAACACAATCTATATCTGATTTTTGAGAATAACCTTCAAATAAATAAGAGCCTCCAATTAATAAAATTGAATTATTTTTCTTAAAATAATTATTTTTTAATTTTTAAAATTAATTAAAATAATTACCCAAAAATTAATTATTCCTTTTATTTGTTCTATAATTCCTTCAATTCTATTCTTTTCACAATATTCTATTTCATAACATCCATTTTCATTCAAAACATCAATTAACTATAAATTAAATTTATTTAATATAGTAAAAAAAGTAAAAAATAATAATTTTGGAGAGGTGGACAAGGTCTATAATCTATTGGAGAGCAATAAGGTTGGCGGATCCGGATATCCGAAATTTTCGGTTCGGATACCGGACCTGGATATCCGAAGTTTTCCAACTATCCGCCAACCTTAGAGAGCAATAATTAAAAGTAAAAATGGCGTGTTTTGATACAAGATAGTTGGAATCAGTCCAAAATTAACTCGATTATCCGGACTTCACAAATTTACAAATTAATTAACAAAATTAAATTAAATAAATACTTTTAAAAAATATTTATTTAATTTTCATTTCCCCAAAAATTATTTAAGAAAAAACATTTTTACTAAATTAACTAACCGTTCCCTGTTCAACTTCCATTTCCTCAATATTAATTAATTTATCCAAAAATTTTTTCAATTCTTTTTTAATTTTTCCAAAATTTTCAATTCTTTTATTTAGTTCAAATTCTTTAATTAAATTCCATTCTTCATTTAATAAATTAATTTCTTTACTTAATATTTCTTTTTTATTTAAATATTTTTTTATATTTTTTTCAATATAATTAATTAAATTCCCAATTTCAATCATTTCTTTATTTTTTAATTTATTTTTAAATAAATTTTGATAAAAATGATTAAATCCATTATTAATAAAATCTATAGGCAAAATTGTATATTTTGATGTTGAACTTGAAGGCCTTTCTTTAATTATTTTAATTATTTTATTTAATTTTTTATTTGGTGTTAATATTTCATTTTCTTCAGAAGAAGAATAAATCTTTAAAAATTAATAATTTTATTTTTTTTGGAACATAAGCAGAATCTTTATAACTTACGACCTGTTATTTACTGTAATAAATTATTTTATGATTTCTATTTTTAATGCTAATATTAAATTAACCAGAAAATTCAATTAAATTTAATTAAAAATTCAATCGGCACAATTTTAAATTTTTAATAACTACTCAATATATTTTTTAATCATAATTCGATTCATAAAACTTTATCTATTTTTTAGATTCTCTATAAATTTACTTATTTCTTAAATTTAGCTAAATTACCGTTTCTTTTCCTTTTTCAATTAATTCCATTCTTTTATCTTCATTTATTATTATTTCATTGTTTTTACTTTCCTCACTATCAACAATACTAATTTCTTCTCTATTAATTTCCTCATTAATATTTTCTCCAATATTTTCTTCACCTTTAATTAATTCTGAAGATTTTTCTGAATTAATTTCAGAAGATTTTTCCTTTAATTTCTGTTTTTTATTCTTCTTTTTATTTTTCTTTTTTAATTTTTCCCTTTCTTTTTTACTTAATTTATTATTATTTTGATTATTATTTTTATTAATTATTTCCTTATTTTCTTCTTCTAAAAATAATTCATTTTCATTAATTTTAATATTTAATATTCCCATTATTTTTTCAAAGATATTTTCATTATATTCCAATATAAAAAATAATTTTTGCTTTTCCTCATTCAAATCTAAAAATATTTTTAAAAATATTCTCCCTATTAAATAAATTAATTTCGAAAGCCGTGCCCTTCCCTTTTTGAATTAACTTCGCGAATTTTAAATATCAAGAGGAATATCAAAGACTTATTTTTCTGTGTCATTACTCTGCCTACCGATCCTAACGTCCTAATTTCCTAAAATCTGGAATCCCCGACGTTTTTGGTATCGGGAATTCTGATTCTAAAAATCGAGAATTTATTTTGAAAGGGTTTCTGCTACACACATTTAGGTAAACATCCTAAATAGAAAAAAGATCGAACATTTTAAGAATTTTGATAAAATAAAAATTTCCTAAGGACATTACTTCGATTAAACAGTTAGGAGTAAAAACCATGTTGTACCCCCTAAAACATTTCAAAATTATTTAGAGCTAATTAAGTTTAATTTTTTAATTACCTTGTTTAATTATTTGAATAAATTTGTTAATTTTCTCTATTTCATTTTCATTTATTTCTTCTTTTTCAATTCCTTCTATATCAATTAAATTAATTAATTGTTCCCCATTTTGTTGTCCAATCCAATTAAAATATTTATCATTTAATTTTTCAATATTATTATTTTTCTCTTTTCCTTCAATTATTGAAATTAATTTTTGTGATATTTTATAAATAATATCATCTTCCTCTTCCTCTTTTTTATTTTCTTTTTGTTTTTTATAATTAAATAAATAATATAAATTAAATTGCATATTTAATAAATTTGTCTTTTTAATTCTCAATTCTGGCAATTCCTCCAAATCAAAAATTTCATCATATTTAATTAATAATTCCCAATATAAATCATCCCAAACATCAACAAATATTTGAATAAATTTATTATTTTGATTAGAATTTTCGAATTCTTTTTCAAACCAGCGATACCAAGAGAAATAGTCAATACCTAATTTATTTGCTAAACGAGTTTTTTCGTCATTAGATGTTATTGCGTGTATAAAATGATAAAGAAGACGAACATCTGATGAAAAAACTGTAAAAAGAATATTTATAAATAAATTATTTAAATTGAGTTTAATATACAAATAAATTTATTTATGTTCCAATTTTATATTTTTGGTACTAATCTTCTAATAAAAATCGTTCCAGTTTATTACATGGTAGCAACCCGGCCTAGAAGCAGTAATGTCTTTATTCGCGCGATTGGCGGTCCATCCAGTAAAGAAACCTCAAACCGTACATCTTTCAATGCACTAATGAAAAATACAAACAACTTCTATTAAATAGGGGTGGTGTACTTTTTAACTTGAAAATTCATAATATTTTTTATTAAACTCTAAAACGTTATTTACTTTATTACTCCAAATATTTAATAATTTAATTAAAAATTTAAACAAACTATCAAATAAATTATTTATTCTTAAGGAAGGTATCATCCTTCTTAAACGAGCTTTTTTGCCAGGTTCAACTGTCAAGTTTCCAAAAAGATGTTCATTTGACTTAAAAAACATTTTGTGTTGATTTTCAACAACTAAATGTACATCTTTTAAAGCAATTTCTTGTTGCTCTTCATCATTACAAAATTCTCCATTCCATTCTAATATTTCTTTTTTAGATGAAAAATTATTTTTATTAATAGCCATTGAAATAAAATGAATAAAACGTTCTAAAAAACAAAAAACTTTTGGAGACATAATATCATTTTCTTTATCATTAAAAATTATTTTTTTCGCCCATTTTATTTTATTTTTAATTATTTTAAATATATTTTTATTTTCAAATTCCATATTTTCTAAAGTTATTAATTGTTGAATTAATAAAGAAATATTTATTCTCATTTCTGCATAGTTTGAATTAATTTTGTCATTAAGATATTTTTTGTAATATTCAATTCTCATATTTGTTTGCATTTCATCTGTTGAAATATTAAATTATTATTAATTTTTAATAGAGCCCGGCTCGATAGGATATTTTTTCAATATTTTTTGATGTTTTTATATATCGACCAGCCCCTCCGGCAGGGCTCTGATTTTTAATATTTAAAAAAAGGGAGAATTATTTTTTAGTTCGTGCAGATTTTTTAAAATTTATTTCAGTCACTATCAGATAAATAGGAACTGAATTGAACCTTTGTATTTAATAAAGAGATAAATGTTCTATGTAAGGTTAACCCTCGCTAAGACACATCTTTCGTGATCGAATTATTCGGACTTGTTAAAAACGTGTTATTGAGGAAGACGTACCTATTCTTAATATTTCTGGATGCATTCTCTCTAATTTATCTAGAAAATCTATAGAAATTAAATCATAAATTCTATCCTTCATTTGTTTTTCGGAATTACACAGAATATTTCTAAATTGTTCATAATTTTGAATTAAATATTCCAAACATTCAAAATGTATTTTCCTCATTTTAAAAACATTTAGAGCTTCTTCAATTAAATTTTGTATATTTAATTCTTCAAATTTAACAGAAGAAAATTTCTGTAAGAAGTTTAATCCCTAAAATTAAATTTTTTGTTCATACATATTTTTTAATAAATTAATAAAAACATCAATTTAAAATGTTTTTATTCTACTTTTTTGTTTTTAATAATAACAAAACTATTAAAGTCAATCAACTCCCTTTATGAAAAAAATTCATTCTTAGGAAGGATAAATTACTATATCATTAATTAACGTATTATAGTATTATAGAAGATGTGAGCTAAAATTTTATATTTATTTTGGGGCAATGGCTTTTAAAAAATTTTAATAATTTTAACAAAAAATTAAATTAAAATTTTTACAGCCATTTTAAATTTAAATTTCCTACATATAAAATTACAAAAAATTTATCTATTTAAAAACAAATTTTTTAATTAATTTACCTTTAATCCCTCGTCTTTATATTTACTTGCAGTTTTATAAATTACTAATAAACATTTACAAACTTTTTCTTTTAATTCCTTTAATGTATCTTCTTTCGATCTTTTTAATAAATTATTTAATTCAAAATTATTTATTTGGTTATTATTAATTGCCTTAATTATTTTAAAATTCCATAAAAGTACTTCCATATTTAATTTTTCTAACGCTTCATCATGAACTCGATTTTCTTCTATTCTATTTTTTATTTGTAAAAATTTTTGATAAGCTTGGATTAAATCTAAAAATAAATAAATATATATTTTTCTTCAACTAAAACATTTTAATTTAAAATAAAAATTTTTTAAATCTATTACTGGCAAATAGGTACTTTAGATACACTGTTGAATCACCCGCTACCTATATCTCATTAGTTGGTTCTACATCCACTTACAATTATACCTTCGCCTTTCAAGTGTGAAATTTTTGTAAATTTTTGGGACACTTGTAATATTAAAATCTTAGGTCATTGTAAAATGTCCCAAAACATATATCGACCAATGTATATTTAAAAGTAAATAAAAATATTAAAGTAAAATATATTTAAACCTTCATTGTCATCATCTGTTATTTTGTTAACTCCTAACGACGATTCAGATTTATCTTCATTAGTTGGAGGGCATTCAAAATAAGTTAACATTGATGATGGTGATGGATACATTGACATTATCTCCTTTTAAAATATAAATGTTTTCAAATATTTAAATATTTCAACAACTAATAGTTTTCTCAATTTTAATTCCCTTTAAATTTTTATTTAGTAAAAACATTTAATTTCAGAGTTTGAATAGTTTTACGAAAAATCAGAGAGTAAAAATCGGAGATTTTGGCAACCCTAATCACTAATATAAAAAATTAATTAATTAACTACTTTTTCAATTTCTGATCTCATTATTTTTTCTTCTTCTTCTTCTTCATTTTCCTTTTCATTTTTATTATTATCGCTAATCACTTTATATTTTCTATCAAGAGCATCAAAATCAAACTCTTAATATTGAATATTATTTTTAATATTAATC